TTGGTGGACATATCTATCACTAATACCAAGAGTCACCTATCTCACCTCTGCCACCATCTCTTTGTACTGCTGCCATTAGTGTGGCACAATAATAATAATTTGTGATTAATATTTGCATCTGAAAGTTCAATGCATATAAACAAGCTCAATGCATATATAAGTGCAGACATAAGCATGGTGTATACACTCTGTATAGCCGTCCTGTAAGAACATTTGTCTTCATATAATTTTACGTTAAAATGGGAGTCAAAGGTAAACCCCCAGAGCAAGGCACAGCAGTCATACACGCGTGCATGTGTGTGTGGGGGGGTGGGTGTCGGTCCATAGCAGGAGCAGCCAGTGCTCCATAACACGCCCCCACATTGTTGCCTTACGTGCCCCTACTCAGCCTTGCATGAGCAATTATACCCCCACAGAGAGTGATTCAGCAGCCCTGCAGGGAGGTAATCCTGAGGGGGGGGAGGTTGGGCTCCAGGATGCTACACACAAGCAAACATTTCACTCGATAAGCAACGTGGGGTTAACATGTGCCTGAGGTAATTGTTTTAATCTGTATCTTTCTTCAGGACATTTATCGTTACTTATCTACGGAAATAATGCTTCTCGATCATTCTCACATTTAGGCTGGTGTATAAGATGACCCTGCGTGAGCAGCCGGTGTTTGGACTTTGTATAGAGTCTTAATAAAATGTATGGAGATCTAAATGGGAAATATCATTTCAATAACAGCACTGCAGAAAGGCTGAGGGGTGTCATGTAGCTCGTTCCAACCATCCCACCACACCACATGCTACTCTTAATGTGTACTCAGTGTCAGTCTGCTCTCTCGGTGGTCACTCAGTGTTTTCTGAGCATGCCTAGTGATGGTCCACTTTCCCAATCTGCTTAGTGACAGTACTTTTTCTAAGGATGCTCTGACAATCCTAGTGTGCGCCTTAATCTGCTTCCCCAGTGCGCCTACTGACAGAGCATGCTCTGAATCGCAGCACCCACCAACAGGCAGGGATCACTTACTACTTGTAAGTCTCAGAGCGGATGTATTCAAAGACGCTGGATGTGCCCATCTCCAGCTGGCTGGCAATGGGAATCACCCAGGGGTTGTTCTCTGCCTTGAACACATGCTTAGGGCCTGTCAGATCCAGGTTACCTGCGGAAAGGGTCAGGTGTAAGACACCGAACGGGATGCAAAAAGAAATTACACAAATCTGCAAAATATTCGGATGTGAATTTGACGGATCAAAGACTTTCACACCAAACACGTTGGGAACTTTTCGCAACAGGAATGAAAAGAAAGAAATTCTCAAACTGGTGACATGCACTAGCGACAATGTTTTTTTTCCCTTGTTTCTTTTGAGTCACGAAAAGTAAAAGGCGAATGTACTGGATACATCCAATTCTAAAAGACCTTAGACTTCACAATGTCAAGTTCAGATAGTACTTCAGGAAAAGCTAAATTAATTTTGAAAACATGGCAGCATTTGCATCTATTATCAGTTAAACAGCAATAGAAAAAACACAGCTTATTATTTTTTTAACTGCATTTGTATTGGATATCGATTATATAACAATACGTTTATAAATAGGGTAGCAGGGTGATTTAAGATTCAAGAGGTTGATTCGTCACGTACACAGTTGTACACGTACAACATATTGTGGAATGTAAAAAATATATATGAAATGTTCAGCTGTACATAATCTATACACACAGTGGTGCAGTGATTAGCACTGCTGCCTCACAGCAAGAAGGTCCTGGGTTTGTTCCTGGGTCCTTTCTGTGTGGAGTTTGCACGCTCTCCCTGTGTTCACTCCGGTTTCCTCCCACGGTCCAAAAGTGTGCAGGGCATGTTGATTGGTGAGTCTAAATTGGCCCTGTGAGTGTATGTGCCCTGCGGTGTGTTGCCGACCGTCCAGGGTTGGTTCCTGCTTGTGCCCCTTGTCCTCAGGATAGACTCCAATCCCCCCTGCAACCCCAATTAGGATTACGCAATTATGGTGATGGATGGATGTTTATAAATAAAACATTAATGCATAGCCACAGTTTAATATAATTATGAAATAGTTATAAAATCCTACAAATTGAGGAAAAACAAACATAAACACAAGCAACCAGAACTACTGCAAACAATTTTACTTGCCCCCTGTCATCAAATAGGCAGGCCAGTATGGAAACATTGATTCCTTTGATCTGAATTTGAGAATTGATTCTAATGTTAAAATACAGTTTTTTCCCCTTGCAATTTAAATGTTTACATTATTATATATTATAAGGAGCACCGTATTGACTACTATCAGGGAGAGCAGCCAATAAGTGAGGAGAAGGGGGAGGTTGCCCAGACGCTATAGGACAATGGAATAATCAGTCCGCCCGTCGCTATAGGCTAGTGTTGTAAACAAAAAGAGAGTATTTTTCGATTGGAGGTAACCTCATCACGTGCAAAAACTGACATCCTATTAGTCATTCATTTTTCAACACAGCTAAAGCTGCCCAAAATTTAAAAACTGCTGGATCACAACAATCTGAATTTGTGTTCCAAGTGGTTGAACAGGCCTTTTGTAGCAGTCTTGACTGTGTTGCTCCATTAAGAAAAATGACTTAGAGACAAAAAAACAAACACATCTTAGTAAACAGACCAAATTTGTGAGCTTAAACTAACCACACATACACTAAAACCTAAGTGGTGTATTACTAAATTTTCTTGATTGCCTGGAAAGAAAGTGTTTTAACATTACAGACATGCCTTATTTAAAGAGATTGCACCATTAATAAGTATTACACTACTTCATATGATAAACTCATCTCTAAGATTGGGGTATGTCCCACATTCACTCAAAGTTGCTGTTGTCAGACCCATCCTGAAGAATAAAAATCTGGATCCCAATGATTTGGCGAATTACAGACCTGTTTTTTGCAAACACCGACAATGAAATGTTCAGAGTTTAGGCCAAATCATAGTACTGAAAGCGCACTCGTAATAGTCATGAATAACGTGCTTATAGCTGTTTATGATGGTTGCATATCCCTGTTGGTCTCACTGGGTCTAAGCGTGTTCACCTTGTACATCCTGCCCTTTGGTGGCATTATTAGGAAGCATAGTGTGAGTTTTCATTGTCATGCACAGCTGTACATATCTTTTAAAACAAATGTGTTATCACAGCTGTGAAAGACTGAGGAATACTTGTCTGAAGATAGGAGCTGGAGGGCCAGTGAATCTCTGTTTGTTATGCTCCAACGTGTAAACACGAGACGAAATTGCTGGCTCTGTTTGGGCAGACAACCTAGAGCACAGCAGCCATCTTAAAGCATTGGTTGTTATTCTTTTTAACCAATCATTTACCTACACATTTACCTACACATTTACCTACACATTTACCTACACATTTACCTACACATTTACCTACATATTTACCGACACATAAATCTGCAAGTGCATGTACCAATTCTCACTATCCCTATGCATCTTTCTCATTGGATGATTAGTTTTTCCTGCTTGGTGCATGTCTGCGCAAATGGCCGCTTCCAGTATACAGTAACTGTCTAGGTTCACACTGAATGATTTTACGCTCGCCACAGTTTTTGGAAATTGCCGACAAAACCCCCAGATCTGAGGCAAATCGGCGTACGATCGGCGCTGGCAAATCGGCACTCGATCACTATCTGTGAACTGTTCACAACGCGACCTGACGAAGTCAACGATGCATTGCAGTCGGCCGTCAGACGGGCTAAATATCTGGACCTGTCGCCGAATCCTGTAGGTGTGAAAGGCGCTGTGACTGCAGGGCAATGAGTCCGGCGACGAGCCGCAGCCAAGGAGAGCACAAGACACGGGGTGAGGCGAAAACTGGGGGAGGTATTTAGCAAGGTGCAAAAAGTTCAATTTGTTTACGAACTGTTCTTGGTATTCAGGGATACACGCGGACAAACACACACACACACAACACACATGTGCAAGGGTCATCTTGGAAATCAGTATCTTCCTGAAACTAAACCGAGATTAGTAAACTGTATCTAGTACAACGAACAGAAGGAAAGACCCACAAGATTAATGCTTAGCACTTAATGACAGACTAATGTCCCTTTTTTGTAATTTCAGCAGTTTTACTGCATTGCATTTTGCATAATGCGTTTTCCGTTTTTGAAGAAGGGTTATTGTAAATTGTGAAGGAAGGTTCTGCACACGGTTAAATGCGTGTTTGACAGGTGTTTAGATGCCCTAATAACAGAAATTATTACAGTATAAAATGGCCATACAGTTAAATTTGATGGGTGTTTTAATGCCCTAATAACAAAAATGAAATAGGGAAAAGTATGTGTTACCAGGGGCGCCGCAAAGGGGGGGAAAGTTGGGACAATTCTAAGGGCCCACGCCCTTTAGGGCCCCCCAGAGATCTGCTTTATTAATAATAAGTTACCGTAGGGGGGCCCAACCTCATATTTTGTCATAGGGCCCAAAATTGCTAGTGGCGCCCCTGTGTGTTACTGATGTATGCAGAATATAAATATCACCTGTGAAGGAAAAATTAATGTATTAATTTTAACGTTTTAATACATGAAAGAAGTATGGTGAGTCAGTAACACATTCTCAGCCTAGTTAACTAAGCATCATAGGGTGTGCTTATGTATAAGGTCTGCTTATGTATTAGGTTTGCTTACTTTTTAAGGGAATTTATACAGCCAGGAGAAATATCCTTCAGCAGCATCCATTTCAGTATCATTAACCTCTCTGAGAAAAATATGACTAAAAAATTGACTAAAATTAGACTAAACCTGATGGATGGATGGATGGATGGATGGATGGATGGATGGATGTATTGATGGATGGATTGTTGGATATTATTATTCCAGACATGATGTTTTGTCTACAACAGAAAATAAATGAATCCGATAACCCAAATGACAAGACAAATACAATATAACTTCAACAGAACTCTTCAGGCTCTACATTCTATGAAGTTTGGAGGTTTGAATCACTCATCATTATGGTTACTGCTCTTACTGTCTTCCGTTATGAACGTCTTGTCCATTTTCATGCTGGGTCCACAAGAGCAACAGCCCAGGTGTTGCGGTAAACTGAGCTTACTGCTATGAAGGGAATTTGTTCTAGTAGGACCCAGGATATGTGTTGCTGGACACTTTTTTTGCTTAGGAAGGGACCCTTGAGCAAGGTAACCTTAACTGTCCCAGCAAGATACAGGTGATGATTTTGCTGTAGAGCAAATACAAAAATTCTCTTGGTCCTGCTCAGCAACTGGTAAATGAACGCTTTACATGTGAGGACTCGGCCATATGTGCCATCCATCTTCAACATGCTCATCCTGATCAGGGTCAAAGGTAGGGGGTCCTGGAGCTTAATTGCTCTATATAACAAGAGGAATTTTGGACCTTCTCATCCTGGCACTTGTCATCTCTCTAAACTACTGCATCTCATTACTAACCATTACTGACTGGCAAATATTTCAAAATGTGGTTTGTAAGCCAAGACCTCCTGAAGATTCCAGCACCATACAGGAAGTGTCACTCAGTACATGTCTCATGTGCAGGTCCTTGATGGTGTAATGAGCAAACCATCTACATCCTATCATTACAATCACTCTCAAACTTCAAGAAATGCCTCAAGACCCATCTGTTCCAGGAACACATCTAGCCCCCTAACTATTGAATTGTGCTTGCAAAATATGGGACTAATCGTGTCCCATGTAGTCTAAAATGGGACGCTGCATTTAAATTTTTCAGTTCAGGATGATCCCATAAAAATAAGGGACAGCTTGCAACTCTGAATACAGGATGGGTGGCAACTAGACCCAAAATCAAGCACAAAAATATATTGATTTTTAGAGAATAGTCATAGAGAGGGAAGAACAAATGATAATGTGGAAAAATACAAAACAGAAAATTCACAAATTATGTAAATGCCCCAAAAAAGGGGCGGACTCTCAAAAAGGTTAAGAAGCCCTGGTATGGATCTTGCTCTGATGGTAACTTGCACTTGTTACTGATAATTCAGTGCAAGCTCAACCTACCCACACTTACGCCTAGTTAGACACTTGTATACTTGTAATGTTTCATCTACCTAAAGAACCATGCAGACACTTTTGTCGTGTTCACACCGCAGTATCTCAGCCTGATTGCAGTTTCTCTGAGTCAGTTCCAGAACCCGTTTTTAGTCCCTACTCCAGAATAGGTACTTTTCATTGAACACGAACTGCTCTGGAGTGGCTTACAGAGATAACTTATTGATTGGTTGATTACCAACATGGGCCCTGACTTGGAAGTTACACAGAAATGTAGTGAAATGAGCTAGAAGTAGCAGAGTAAAAATTGAGCATATGCAGTTATTTTTGTACATAAATTACAGTACATTTATTGTGCTCTAAAATCATTTGATAGCCAATATACTTTTGTGTAATATTGCCAGTGCCGGCAGTGAAATTTGCCTCATTAATGGAATAACATTACATCATTTTTTATTCTATGGAAAATGAAAGATCAATCGTCTCACCACATTTAATATGCATTATAAACATGTAGTAGGAGTATAAATAAAATATAAATTAAAGGCTGTGGCCCATTTTGATCATGATCAATCCCCCCAATAACTAACAAAACTACTTGCTCATCCTCCATTGTTTTGGAGTGGCAGTATAGTTTTGTATAAAAGTGTGTTTAAACTACAACCTTTTTGCATCTCCCACACTCATATAGCATAAAGGTCCCAGTTCCTGTTGTGCGGTGTGAAAGTCACATATGAAAGTGACCACGGCCCAGGAACTTGTAACCAGGTACCAGGTACCAAGTTCCGGAACTTTAGTGTAAAAGCAGCCAAACTGTATAGGCTTTTTTGTAGTTTGCCTGTGTGTTAATGTTACCTAACTGAGGAGGGAGAATGCTGAGCCAGTTCCCTTGGATGTGTAGCTCCTTCAGCTGGGCCAGATCTCCTACTTCCTTGGGCAGGGAGATGAGGTCATTGTCCCTCAGACAGAGCTGTAAGGACCAGGACACAGGAACACACACGACATCATTAAATTCCTCTGTCCTGGGTCAGACAAGCTATTGTAAACCAGGGTACAGCATTCAGTTCCAATCAATCCACAGATGGAAGTTTTATAATGATTGCCAGCATTAATTTCCAATTGGTCAAGCATTTTATCTCTAGAATTCTAAATGCAAATTATGCTACTTTTACCCACAAACGTACCCTATTTCCTTTGCATACGAGACCATGCAAAGGCACAGGAAGCCAGATCAACTGGAAATTAAATATCACAATGCCACACTCCGTGCCACCTAGCAATCATAACAAACAGCATACAAGCTAAATGAGCTGTTAGTGAGGTGCAGCACTCACTATCTGTAGCCTGTTGAGCTTGCCAATATCTGGAGGCAGGACCTTGAAGTTGTTCTCACTGAGGTACAGTGCCCGAAGGGTGACTACAAGCAGAGAGACATATAAGTCTGGAGATGCTGATGGGAGCGTTGGCTCTGGGCTTGGTTACAGCCATGCCTACACCCTTAGATTAAACCCCCAAGCTCACTATATGCTCATTCTGCATTCGAGGAAACACGTGGGAGCATTTGTGGACAGACTTTAGAACAGGCCAATGAAACTCCTTGATGATAAAAAAAATTCTGTAAAACAAGTGAAAATAAATAGGCCCTTTTTCCAACCTGGCAAAGAATGTCTGGCATGAGGAATGTCACAAAATCACATTCAGGCAGTCCCCAGGTTACGAACATGATACATTCCCTAAGTCTGTCTTTATGCTGAATGTGAAGGTAAGTGAGTAAAGCAATAATATAGTTCATAGTAATAATAATAATTAGACAGTAATAAAGGTAACTGTTTACAGTACTGCACTGTATCTTGAGCCTATGAACCGCTGAAGCTGAACGATGTTTTCACAAGCGGCACAAAGTTATACGTGTGTTCATTATTATGAACCATTGTACTTAACGTGAATTTTGAAGATAATAGTCTTACTGTAAAGGCCGTCTGTTTGTAAGTACGAGTTGTCCGTGAGTCAGGCTTTCTTAACCCAGGTACTGTTTGTACATTCAATTATAAAAAATGTCATAACCCAAAACGTACCCTGAAAACTATTAGTATTTGAGACACACTACAAAGGTTCATGCCCTGCAGAATTTTCTGTTTTGGTTTAATGCAAAGCTTAATGACAAAGTGTTCAGATAAAAATGACCCCTGGACACAATACTGTTTTGTGGGTAATACAGATTAGACAAAGCGGTCTAAATAACAAAATATATATAACTTCCTGGTATCAGAGACATAATTTTCCTGTATATGTATCACTGAGTCTCTTCTTCTAAAACATAAAGTGCCATTTTTTCATTGGCAAAGGATTTGTAAGCCTCTGTGCTTTTGTGCAGCTAGCCAAACGCTTCTTCTTTGTTTCCATCCTCTGATTCCTTTTCTCTGTTCATTAATCAGATTTCTTTCAGAATCAGATGCAATTCTGAAGTTCTGCCATCACCCGAATTTAAAAACAGCATGATGAACACGGAGGAAGGGCATCAAACGAGCCTTGATTACATTTGAGCTGCGGTTTCATTAAGTGATTACTATGAAACACATCTCATTCAGGGTTTCTGCTGCATCAGAGAGTTAGCCAATGACCTTCAAATGAAATAATCTGAATGAATTCACTGTTCAAGTAACAATGCTGCTTTTATGTGCTGGAGGAACAGGTAAGAATATGGGGTTGCAGAGTAAGAGTAAATGAGGACTGTAGTGTGTGTAGTGTACTGGAGAATGCGGACTGATTAGTAGCAGCTGAGAAGAAGGAACAGTGCCATCTCTGCAAAGGAAACTCACCGATGTAGAAGAAGCTGGAAGGTAGGGAAGCTTCGCTCAGGTTGTTGTAGGAGAGATCCAGGATCTCCAGTGAAGGCAGAGGGCCGAAGCCCTGTGGTAAGGCACTCATCCTGTTCATGCTGAACACGCACAGGATGGGTCAGTGGGCTGTAAGCCCCATATACCATGTTACACACTGAACATTAGCCGGTATTAGCCTATTAGCTAAGTTTCGCATATAACTAATGCTCTAAGTGCCCGGTTTCAGGTCAGATGCAGTAATGAGAAGCCTGCAGGATTTACAGGGTGTGCTGGAGAAAAATCCAGCTCACATAATTAGTGTGCCTTTGAAATCCCATGACAATGGATTCTGAGGTTTATTTACTACACATTCACCTATTACAAAAGAAAATGATAAAGTGGTGTATATACAGCTCTGGACAAAATTAAGAGACCACAGCAACAATTTATTTTCACTAATTTCTCAATTTATGGGTATGCTTCTTTGTAAAATATATATTTTTTTGCAAACTCCAGCCTGGTTCTTCCTTGCTTCTCATTAATGAAGGGCTTCTTCCTGGCTTTATGGGACTTCAGTCCTGCTTCTAGGAGCCTAACAGTGCACTCCACACCACTTAATGTTTCCCATTCTTTTTAAAGGTCACTTGATATCATCCTCCAATTCATGAGGCACTGCTGGATAAGTTGGCGGTCATCTCTGGCATTAGAGAGTCACCTCTGCCTTATACCTAGGTGGTATCTGGTCGTTCCCAGTGTCTTCTGCTTCACGTCGTTCTTGTGTACTGCGGTCTTAGAAATCTTGAGCCCAGAAGCAAGTTGCCACTCAGTGTGGCCTTTTTGCAGCAGAACCAGGATTAAACCAGGATTTAACAATGCAGTTACTTAAAAAAAACATGGTGTGGTCTCAATTTTTTCCAGTGCTGTATACATATGCTATTCATGAAATATGGAAATAAGATCCTATTTGAAGGTAAAAATTTAACAAAACTGAATAAAGAAGAAAAGAAATATACAGCGTACATAAACATGAATTGACATAACTGGTACCCAAGTACGCATTCGCCTTTAAAAGCGATACGTGTGGCAATCGATTGTTGTTTTATGTGCATTTTTGCTGATATGACAAGAAATTATCGTGCATTTAAACCTTTATATGCTAATTCGTACTTCATTTGTGGTATAGAGGTTATAATGCACTGTAATTTCTTGTCATATCGGCGCAAATGCGCATAAAATACATACATATTTGTGCTTTTACATTAATCGATTGCCGCACGTACCACTTTTAAAGGTGAATGCGTATTTGCGTACCTGTTATGTCAGTCCCTCTACATAAGAATATCCCATTTTGCTCTCCTCTTTGAAACACACAGACCCTGGTAAAAGTGAAGGATGAGGTCTAAGCACAAGGTCAGTCATTTTATTCGGCACCACTGGAACGGATTTTAATGGTTAAAGACCTTGTCTAAGTGCCCAATGGAAATAAGATCACTCTACTGTCCATGATAAACCTTCCACATATTTTTTTTTCCCTCATTCGTATTTTAGGGTAAACGCATACAGTATAAAATATAATATCATGACATATTCCACTGTGCCTGGAAATCTCCTAAGGGGCCAACTACCTCCGCGGCTGGCTTTCAGTTATATAGCAAATCTGTACAAACTTTGCACTTTACCACTTGCGGGTAAGTGGGAATCCAGCATTGGCAATCAGGGGCAAGCTCATTCGCTACTACTACAATTAGCATCAAACGACTTCCTTGTTATTTAATCTGACACAAGCTGGCAATTGCTGAGTCTGAACACTCACGCTTGAATGACTATGGATTTGATACAAAGTGACCCTGCTGTCAAACAAAGGAACTTAACTTAAGTCATTGCTAAGCCGAGATGGTAAAATTACAGTTTAAGGGGAAGAACAATGGACTCTCTGATTGGCGGGTAAGATGGTCCATAAGGTTTGGGCTACATCCTCCATCTCATGCGCAACTTAATTGTGGTGTGATGCTACAGCTGAGGAAAGTGCTGATTGTGAGATGGATAGCTGAGGGGTCCGCCTTCCAAGCAAAGGCAGGCCAACAACCTCCACATTATTTCAGTGATGGTTCTTTGGAACTTGTGCTGCATTTCGGTGTTTACTTTTAAGTGACGTTACTCTCTGGGGCTTGGCTGAAAAGACCTACTTAGTTTAATAGTTACTGTCTCAACCATATGTTTATAGCTAAGCCATTAGGTCTGCTGTCTCAGTCTTGAGAAGACGTGCAAGAGACAGAAGTATTATTTTATATCAGTAAACATTGCCAAAAATTGTATTTTCTTAATTCATTTTTTAATTTTCCTATTTTTTATTGGTTACTGGAATATACCTGTTAACTACATCCTGGTTATCCAAGCAAACATCCTGAAATGCCACCATAAATGTTAGACGGAATGGGATACCAAAAATTTATGCTGACGTTTTGATTCCCACACAATATCTTGATTAGACTAGATTGATTAGAGAAGCAGTTGGCTCAACTCAGCGTAGAACATACTGTACTAGAGAAGAAAAACTGTAAGGAACATAGGACACCCACCCCAGGTTGAGATGCCTCAGCTTTTTCAAACTGCAGATCTGGCTGGGCAATTCCTCAATATAATTGTTGAAGACATTCAGCACCTCCAGGTTCCTCAGATCAACAATGCAAGGGGGAAGGTCTTGAGATGGACGGAGTGGAACAGGCAGGCAGAGAGACAGAAAACTCAAAGACACACAGCAGACACACAGCAGAACCAGCATGTTTACTGTATATGGTCCTAGTTAAGATTCACCCCCCAAAATTGGTTTGTATGTATTAAGGTGGAATTTGACGCAGAGAGCGTCACTAATAGCCAATCAGAGGCCATGTACTGTATGTTTCTTATGCCCTATGCAATCTGCCTGAATATAAACTTGCTGTAAACATAATGAGGCAGAGAACACAGGGGCAGTGAAACTGCCCAAGGCACTGTTTACAGAAAAATGTCTCAGTGGTCAATGATACATAGACGATTTGGCTGAAAAGTACACACAGCATTACCATACCACACAGCACAGGAAATGTGGCCAGAGGTTATTCTAGCACTGACTGCCACGATCATGTGACCCAATCCTAAAGGAAAATCTTTACATTGTGTTTTTTTTTGTCATGATAACTGTTCTTGGCCATATTATCTAGCCCAACTATAAATAAATATTAATGTTTATAAAGTTATGAAGCTGCCTGGATCATCCATAAAACGTGGCCATCTTGCAGCGAGCCAGATAGTGAAAGGGGGAGTTTGGTATCAGTCTGTCATACTGTGGACCCACCAAATTCACACAGGCTTTATCAGCAGCATTATTGTTCGTATTTTAAAGTAACGTTTTCTAAATTACAGCCATCCACCGAAAGTCTTTTTCAAAAAAAAAAAAAAAGCGTAAGGTTGCAGAGAACACATCTGAGAAAACAAAGATCATGAGGCAGAGAATATCTTCAATTATGATGACACAATTATGGCTTAAAATAATGCATTAATAGCTGGATTTTAGCAGAAGGAATTCAGAGTAGGGACCTCATTCAAGCACTCCACGTCCTTCTCTACTATTACACCTGCAGGACACCATTATGTGAGCATTATGTGACACCAAATTAATGAGCATGGCCTTTTACATTTACTGGAAACCTTTATGCAAAGCAACATGCAAGAGATGATCAGTCAGGGTCTCTGGAGCCACTGGAACTAAGGGCCTTGCGTAAGGTCAAGGTCACGCCCCAGTCATCCGATCCTCCCGTGTGCCACGCCCCCTCATTTACCTCATGTGGAATCCTCGTGTTATCAGCTGTTCCTAGTTGTGTCTAATTAGTCTTGTGTGTCTGCGTTAGAGTATGTTTCCCCAGTCTGATCATCGACATCAGTCCTTTGTTTACTCTATGTTCCTGATTTGTCTTCTTCCAAATAAACCCCGTGTTCACTCGATTTCCTGACTCCTGCGCCTGCTTCCCCGGTCGGTGCCCCCGTACATGCGTGACAGTCAAGGTCAAGGTCAAATTTATTTATGTAGCACATTGAAAGTCAACAGCAAGTTGTACCAAAGTGCTGTACAGAGTAAGAAAAAATGCAAAATAAAATAGATTTAAAATTTAGGAGATGAATCAAAGATGACACCATAATTTTTGACCTGAGTGCTAATTTTAGCAGACTGCATTGTTTTCCCTTTATCCACTACCTTGGGGTTGATTTATCAGAAATATAATATTTCTTACCATTGTTATGCAGATGGAACACACATGTACATTCCTCTAAAATGCGACAATGGCCCAACCCCTTCGCGATTTACCACCATATCGTGGTGGAGGGGTTTGCGCAACTCTGTGATCCTAGGAGCAGACAAAGTACGATTCAGAAAACTCCTATGAAGAACAAGATCAAGGACTATGTGACTCCGGGTCCCCGCCCTGGAGCCAGGCCGTGGGAAGAACGCCCTGCCTGATCTCAACCCAAGTGGTGCTCTGTTATTGGGCTTTTGTGTTAACCACGGTTTGTCCATAAAGAACATGTGTGAGCATAAGCGTGTTCATTGGTTCACCTGGCACCAGAGCACCCCAGGCCGCAGCTCGATGACCAATTTTGTCTTCGTATTATCAGATCTGCGATCACATGTCTTGGACACTCAGGTGAAGAGAGGAGCTTAGCCATCAACTGATCACCACCTGGTGGTGAGTTGGACCAGATGGAAGGGAAAAGTATTGGATAGACCTGGTAGACCCAAACACATAGTAAGACTGCAGTGGTCAATTTTAAGGACTTTTCCAGGTTACCCATAAGGCAACCTCCTAGGTAACTCTAGCTTATGTGCTTTTTACATGAGGTTGCCCTGCAAAAAAGGCTATAAATTCTTCAGCATTGACTTTGAACTTATATGAAGTAAGCCAGTGTTTGCAGAGTTAGCAGCTTGGAGAAAGTAGCATATCGCTTACCTAATGAGCTCAATAGCATAGATGCCATCTATTTTAAAACAGTCCATGGCAATCTATACCATTCATTCTGAGTTATGCATCCTTTGACACAAAATGTACGAATTGATGAAACCCTCATGGTGTTGATTTGAAATAATGACAATTTTTAACAAAATGTAATTTTGTTCTTTTCAATCTGTCAGATTACAAGTTTGACTTTTAGTCATTTTGAGCTGAATGATCGATACTCATTAGATCATCATCATCATCATTATCATCGCTGGGAACTGCAACCATCACATCATGAGGATTGTCGTCAGAACCACTGCTGTGCCGTTTGTAGATATACCTATCACTAACACTATACATCAAAAATGTGAAAAAGAAATTCATAACGATTTTCCAACGCATGCGGAGATTATTAGCATTGTTCTATAAACTGTGCAGAACCACAGTTCTTTGGTAGACTAACTTTTTTTAAAAATAAACTTTTTATGTAACTCATACTGTATTTACGTTAAAGAGAAAAATATATGCCAATACATATTTTATGCTTTTATGACATACACTGCACAAGAAAAATATATATATTTATTGAAAATAAAATCTATGTAAAAGTTGACTCCCGCTGTCCAAGCCTGTGTTGTTCAAGGGTCACCGTACGTTATGTATTTCAATACACAGTAGCATTAAAATTGTAAGATACATTTATGCATAAGGACCAGATGTGCTGTGTTTACTGTTCGTAGTGAAACACAAACTTACTATGTTCAACATTGCTAATTCTGGCCAAATCATACAAAGAGTTACCACCCATTCTGTGTAAGCATTTCAGTAAGAGATGATCCTGTATTATCAGGGATGGGTTGCAGCCTGAATTATAAAAGCTTGAAATTGTACTCAATGAAGAACTCTTTGGTAGTCAATAAGAGCCAGCTCTTACTACTGAGCTGAGCCAAATGATCTGGCTCACTAAAAATAAAACATGTGATAGGTACTTAAGATGTACAAATTTGATGCGTAAACTCTGAGGGTGTTCCATAAAGTACAGCCTACGTAAACTTGTATGTACTCAAGCAAATTCAGCGGTGTGACATTGGTGAGGTAGGCGTTGAGACTGATGTTGTTGGCTAAGAGAAAATTTGGTCATCATGGACAACCATTAAAAACTAGGCAGTCAAATGTGCTGGGAACATCTGGCAGAAGCCCCTGTCCGATTGATCTCCAAGCCTCACCACTGGCAGAACTTCTCTTGCATCCCAATGGAGGTAGCTGTGCAGAGCTATGGCCATAAGATTGGTGGTGCCTGTCACGGTAGCAACCTCCAAACCCGGTGGTGGACACCAGTGGTAAAGGGAGCCATCAGGCTGAAGAAGGAGGCCTTCCTGGCTTGGTTAGCTTGTGGAACTCCTGAAGCAGCTGACAGGTGCTGGCAGGCCAAGCAGTATCTGGCTTTGGCAGCTGCTGTGACAAATATTTGGGTGTGGAAGGAACTTGGTGAGGCCATGAAGGACTAATTCCAGTCAGCCTTGAAGAGATTCTGGCAAATTGTCAGGCAACTCAGGAGGGGGAATTAGGGTGTTGGTTCCATCTCTGAGATTTCCTGAAGGCTCTTGATGTCGTTTAGCTGTCTTGGCTGATATGTCTCTTCAACATTGTGTGGATATTGGGGACAGTAGCTTTGGATTGACTGGGGTGGCCGTCCCAATCTTTAAGAAGGGGACCAGAGGATGTGATCACACTCCTCAGCCTCACTGGGACGGTCTGTGCAGTCTTTGCAGTTTTTACTATCTAGGATCAACTGGATGCAACATGTCAACAAAAGGTATGAGACGTTTGGTAAAACACCTGATTATTTTCTTATATGTGCAGCACAATTAAATGAAAATCATTGCATTGCATACATGATAGATCTATGAGGGCCATGTGTCATCACGCCAAAAACGACTCCAGATAAACCACAAAACATGGACATTAATCACGAGTCTCATTGTGCCGTGTGCTAATGCTTTTTTTTATTCCTGTTTTCTGTAACACAAAAGTCACACGGTAGTGACAAAGGTGCAACGTGAGCATGATACGGGGGAGGCGGGGACGATCGTGCTTGGATTTGTGATCAGAAAAGCAAGCATCAGCTATTTAAACGTCATGAACTGGCAGACCTAAAGACAGCATCAAATCAAGAGTACTGCATGTCCATGTTCACAAGCAGGGCGTGACAGAAACCGAGTAAGGAGTCAAGGAGTCGAGGAGATATAAACAACCAAAGGCTTAGAAGTGAAGCAGACATGAATGATAAAATCACGGAAGATAAGAACTGAGCACTATACAGGATAAGAAATTGGAAAACTTACAAATAAAAACAGTTGAATTTAGGGGGGTCGGCATATTAATGAGCACAACAGGGCATGTTAAACGAATCTTAAATAACTGGAGTTCAAAACTTGCATAGTTATCGGCTGTCAAATGGATTTGCCTTGTAAACACTAAACCTTCACCTCTGCTTGTAGCCCCAGGCAGATTAAGCCTAGTTATATTCAGACAGTATGGCTTCTCCCAGTGGGCTAATATTGCCCAGCAATACCTGGGTCTCAGACGCAAATAAAAAAAACTCCAAGTCATAGGTCAATAACAAATCATTTAAAAGGAAATTAATTTAGAATTTTATTCTGTATTGCACAAAGCTTGGTGAGTTAATGAGGATAAATGGATAGCCTGCCTTGCACAGGTAGAGTATAA